TGATGTAACTTAAGAACAACTAGCTAATCTTCAATTACAACATTAAAACACATATGAAAAATACTTTAAATTAAATTAAAGCTAGATATCTACAAATTATTCATACATAATGTGTTGAAATGTGACTTCAAATACCCCTAACTGGAATAAAATAATAAAATAACCAACCTACCCCTAATTTCTCTATAACATCCAAAAGAATTAAATACTCTAACAAAACTACAATGATTAGAAGTTCAAATAATCTTTTTCAATTTTCAGCAAAAAACAAAAAAAAAAAACCCTTAATAAAAGTAAATTAGTGTTCCCATAAAAGGCCATGATGCCGTCATCAATTCCACTAGGTTGGGAAGACCTCCACCCCATCAAGTACACTTCTATGTCATACAGATAAAGATCCTCCCACCTCCTCTAGAACTCATGCTCATCAATCCACGAACAATCAGTCAATGGGTGATCTTTGCAACGAACCAAGTATCTCTTATTTGAATTGCGGGGTGTATTGATGGTCTGAACATCCATACATTCTCTATCTCATCCTGAGTAGCTCTTGGTAACTTTGCAGTCCCATGTGAATCAGCATCCAACTACTGGTGATCACTTCGAAATTCATTGAGATCAGCCATATCGAAGTTTGGTGGGATGCTATTGTTTTGAGCTTCAATATGCTTCATATCTGGGAATGGGGTTGAGGTCGTGGTGGTAGCACCACTTTAGCTTCAGCTACTGGTCTAGTCCATTTCCATTGCATTCGAAAATCGTTAATTATTTCTAAAAATGGGTAGGGCCTGTATTCCCCCACTGATCTGCCCAAAAAAAAATGCTTCATATACTAAATCTATCTTAGAAATATCTTTTTTGTTAAGGGGATTGCATTTGAAATAGAAATATGTTTATATAAGGTTGCAACTTTATACTGTGGAAAAACATTGTTCGTAAAATCGCCCGATCTAACCACTGACCGCCTGGTTGGATTGGAAGTGGCCGGCTCCGGTTTTGGACAGATAGGGTGATCAACCGGTATTTAAAAAAAATAATTAAAAAAATGTATATAAATTCTCAGAAACAAAGAATTTGATTTGTAATGCATTTTTAAATATTCTTTACATTATGGTAAAGATTAAAAATTGTTTTGGTCATTAATACTCATGTTTATATTTTTCCATCTTTTTTAGAAAATAATCATTGAAAATATAAAATGGGTTAAAATCCATTTTTTCGTTAAATTTCAACTTCATTTAATTGTGTTTTGTTTTAATCATTCTTTATATGTTTTTATATTTTAGTAGATTTCTTTTGTATTTTTTAATTTTTTTTCAACGCTTTTTTTACCACCTGGGACTTGTTCGGTTAGAGCGGTTGAATCGGCCGGTTTACCGGTTAGGCCGGTTAAACCGCTTCCACACCCATGTCCGGTTAACCGTTTTAGTTCGATTTTATGAACACAGAAAAAAAGTAACACCTCATAAATCCATTGAAAAACATTGTCCCGAAGCTAAAAAATTGCTTTAATTAGTCATCTTGACCTCGAAATATACAAATGAGGGAAAATTTGATTTTAAAGTCCTAAAAATGGTATCTCTTATAATACATTATCTATGCCGTCAATTCTTAAGATTTTTATTTATTTATAGATATGCTCAATTTATACTAGTTTTTGAGTTTTAAATTTTATCATTAGATGTGAAGTAGATTTTCGATTTATCAGTAAAATCTCCAACACCAAAACTACAATTTTCGAAGAGCTTTGGAGGTGCTGCGTACATTGAATGTTTTAAGGTTAACTGACGGAGTTAAAAATCAGTGGCCGTCAATTTTGGTTACGTACTCTTTCGAAATTAAAAAACTCAATCCTCCCCTAAAAAAACAATACTTTTTTTTAAAATAGGACTTTATCAAGTAAACAAAAAGAACCATACTAATCTTCTTTTTAAAAATTAATCTTAATAAAATAAAAATGAAAAACACATTGATAAAAAAAACAGAAATAAATAAGTTCCCCAAAATTTGAGAAGAATAAAAATGCTAAATTTATCTGATCTGGATTCGCATTATTTTTGCTGGTTAGTGATTTTCAACTTCGTCATTCACACTTTTTACAAACCACAACCTTTGAAGTGGGTCATCTTTTAAAACTTTTCCCTACTCAACGCTGAGATCCACTTCCCTACCAAGTCTTTTTTTTGTTGTTTGCATAAATTCAGTGGGAAGACAGGCCCTATTTGTTTTTTTTTAAAGTAGAGTAGGAATTAGCTCTTTGAAGGTATTAATATGGTGATGTTAGTGATGAGAATAAAAACCACAACATGGCAACTAGGGTGTGGGGTGCTACCGCCAACCACTTCCCCACCAAATCTTCTAAGTTACATGTTACATGACGCTTGAGATGACCATTGACTCCTTCCGTAATAAAGATTGAGAGAGTTGATGCATGGTTCAAAGAGTGCTATTGTCATAGTCCTTGTTTCGAGAACATATTACATTGTGGTCTTCTATTTCTATAGAAATTTTCAACAATTATTTTATCCCTAGCTCGAAAATCACTTTTGAATACCCTTACCAAAAAGAAAAAAAAAACTGATGTATTTGAATAATTAGAGAGGCTAATTTTTTAACACTCCAATGCAATTGCATAATTAGACAATCCACCTTTCAAATAGCTCAAAACATAATAAGAATTGATGCATTTGAGCAACTTGGAATTCGACATTCAAACCGCCCCATACTTAATTTTTCTTGTGTTTGATGTGATTAAAAAATTGGTCCTTTAAACTGCCCAAACTCCTCAAAAATTGGTCCGTTAAACTGCCCAAACACATCAGACTTTTGTGTTTTGAGTAGTTATGAAATTGGAAATAAATTTGAAAAATTCAAAATTTTAGTGTTTTTTTCTCTTAGGAATAGGAATTAATTGAGATAAGTTAGGTGGGAGGATTATTTGACATGAGTTTTAGTAGGGGTTTGTCATCATGCTTATTTTTTGGTTTAGGAAATAGTTTATCTTCTACAATAAATAGAAATGATCTTTTATTATCTTTTAGATAGAGAAGATAACATGAGATGTAGAAAGATAGATGGAGAGAGATTTACTTATGAGTTAGAGAGAAAGAGATAAGAGAGTTTATTTTTTGTGGGTTGTTTTATTTAGGGGTGCAGTTTGTATAGAGCCAAGGCTCTAAACAATCAAAGTAAAGCGTACCTTCAAATAGTGTCAACAAATGTGATTTCAATACTGGAAATCGTCGTGATAGACTTAAAATATATTTTCATCTTTAACTATAAAATTGAAAGCTATAGTGTAGATTGAGGAGATCTATAAAAACCTCATAATCTTAAAAATTGATGGTCCAAAAATGCGTTGCAAAGTGTACTACTTTCAAAACTTGAAATCTATTTTTTTCTCATGTCTATGCATCTTGATGTCAAGATGATCAATTTGAGGATATTTGGGCATCAAAACACCCTCTTCTAGTGAAAATTTTGAGGGGGGCTCTAATTTGTTTGTGTAGAGCCTCAGCTCAATATAAACCTTTTCCTTTATTTATTTGTTTATTTTCTTCTAAGTGTATTTAAAGGGAAGTACTCTATCATTATTAGAGAATAAATTTTGTGATTCAGTAAAGAATTGATCTTGTGAAAAGATTTTTAGGAGTGGATTCCCTTGCAGATCTAGAGAGATGGTCCATTATCTCATTCTTTTTTATTATTTTTATTTTAATTATTTCTTCCCTTCATCTTCTTTTCTTGCAGACTTAGAGAGAAGATATATTTTTCACCATTCATTATTATTGTTATTTTAGTTATTTTTTCCTTCATTTATCCCTGCATCAGTTGGTATCAGAGCCCGGAGGCCCATGCTAATCATAAGATCTAGTTATGGAGCCTCTAGATTAAAGATTTGAGAGACTCAAAGATGACCTAGTAGAACGTATTAGCAAATTTATAAAACAAAGTCTAAAAGTTCTATTTCATAGATTGCAATCGGAGGAAGAGGAAAAAAAACATAAAGAGTTGACAAATATGAAGAGGAAAATATACTAGTTGCGATATGTGAAATATAACCCTTTGAGATCAAAAGAGAATTCAACATTTAGTGTGATTTTTCAGGGTTTGGTAGCAAATTTCTCTACAAATTGTACTCCAAATGTCTTCTTAGTTGGATTTTTAAAAAAGAAAAACTACCAAGGAGATCAATGGGACTTCATCACCAACTTTTGAGAAAGCCACTAAATATTGAATTCGATAAAATATTGAATTCGATAAACTTGAGATCAAGCTTCTCCCAACCTAGGGAAAATGATGGACAAAGAAATTTGGAAAATTCAAAATTTTAGTGTCATTATTATTATTTTGTTTATGTTTTTTAAGAATAAGAATTGTGCTGGGATAAGTTAGGTGGGAGGATTTTTGTGCGTGAGTTTTAGTAGTAGTGCGGTATCACCCATGAATGCCTATCATTTGGTTTAGGAAATAGCTTATATTTTAAGATAAGTAGAAGTCATTTTTATTATCTTTTAGAAAGAGAAAATAACAGAAGATTCAGAAAGATGGTGATAGAGATTTATTTGAGAATTAAAGAGAGAGAGAGAGATAGAAAAGGTAGTTTATTTTTTGTGGGTTGTTTTATTTATTTATTTCTAAGTATATTTAAAGGGAAGAAGTTCCTCGGTTTAAAAAGAGATATTGGATTTGAATAAAAAGTTGATTATATTTTCTTAACCTTTATTATTACTATTATTTTAGTTATTTCTTCCCTAACATCTTCCCTACATCAACTTTCGAACCACAAAAACACAAAAAAATGATGTATTTTTTTTTGTGTGTAGATCAGTGGGTATTACATGCCGCAACTTGTTTTGGAAAGAGTCAAAAATTTTAATGTGTTAGTGAGACTAGAGGTCGTGAGCTTTAACAGGGGCTCAGGTTGCACCATGACTTTAATTCTCATAATAAATAAAAAAGAAAAAAAAAAAGAAAAAAAAAAAGAATGTATTTAGGCAGTTCGAATGTCCAAACATATCAGTTTTATGGGTTCCGGATGGTAAGAAAATTAAGATAAAATAAAATATAAAAATTCATAAAAATAAAACCTCAACCCAAAATATAGATCATGCGGCATCTTCTCTCTCATCCATACATCAATTTCTCAATAATAAAACTAAAGGGGTTTAATTACTCAAAAAAAGAAATAATAACAAGAATTTAAAGCTGTACTCTCAGCTGAAATCCGGGAAGAGGCCGTAACTGTTTGCATGCGCCGTGCCTCACTAGGCCACTTGCTGCATCGAGAAGACAGTGACCCTGCAGTAAAAGCCGAAGTGTTGTTACTGTGACATAGACTATCCTTCTCTCTAGTTACTTAGCAACTAAGTACCTGTGTCTCTCTCTCTCTCTCTCTCTCTCTCACTCTCTTTCTCTCTCCTTCAAACCTAATCGACGGCAAAAGAAATCTCTAACTCAAGAAGCAAGAAGGAAGAAAACGATGAGGCCATCTTCTTCGGTAGCAGCAGCAACAGCAAGTGGAAGAAGTGGCAGTAGAGGGAACGGGGGCGTGACGCCATGCTGCAGTAAGGTGGGTATGAAGCGAGGGCCATGGACCCCGGAGGAGGACGAGGTGTTGGTGGCATACATCGCTCGTGAAGGGGAGGGCCGCTGGCGAACACTCCCCAAGCGTGCGGGCCTCCTACGCTGCGGAAAGAGCTGCCGGCTGCGCTGGATGAATTATCTGAGGCCGTGTGTGAAACGTGGGCATATCGCCCCCGATGAGGAAGACCTCATCCTTCGACTCCACCGCCTCCTCGGGAATCGGTGGTCCCTCATTGCCGGCAGGATCCCGGGACGCACCGATAACGAGATCAAGAATTTCTGGAACACTCATCTGTCAAAGAAGCTCATCTCTCAAGGCATCGACCCCAGGACCCACAAACCGCTCTTGCCTTCTTCTCCTCCTGGCCCTCTTCAAAACCCTAATAATAATATGAAGAATGTAATCCCTCCTGTGGTTAGAAGCCCTCAAATTTCTCAAAACCCTAAACCTCCTCATGCTTCCACCCATTTCTCAGCACCGCTGTCACCTTATCCTCCTGAAAACCCTAACCCTGATGGCAACTGTGAAGGTTTTCTGGAAGAGAGTGGGAGTGGATCGGAGGTAGGATTTCAATACTCTTACGATGATGAATTTGACCATGAGGTGACGACCATGGCGACTGAGAATGTGTTTGAAATGGGAAACCCGAATAGCGATGGTAGTGGAGACAATGAGTATAACTCCGAGGACACGTTCTCATCCTTCTTGGACTCTCTTATCAGTGGTGATGATGACTTCCTCTTGCAGGAGCAACAACAGCTTATGGTTGCACCGGAGATGACGATGAATGCAAGTGAACCTCAATGTTCTTACTGGGATCGCACCTTATTGCCAACACCGCTCATCTCCGACCATGAGGGTCCTTCCACTGATAAATAAGTTGGGTTCTAGCATCTTCCTTTTTCATGAGATCTGCAAAAGCAAATAGTATGGTTGATGATTTAAGCATCTTCATGGTCCAGTAGAGGCTTGTATTTGAATTATATTATGGCTCCTAATAATTTTGAAATTTGTTTTATTTCGTTTTCAAAGAGTGTATGTGTATTGGGTTTCTGAATGTCGAATGCTTGGGCTTGTAATTCACTTGAAGCATTGTAAGATTTCACTCCTATCTAATAAGCATGGTGGTTTTTATCTAATTGAGTGATTGAACCAAAGCGTTATTTACTATATAATCCACTGATAGTTTTAGTTTCATTTATTTAACTGCTCATTCTAGTGCCAACACACGAGTATTCGAATATGATCACTGAAATAAGATTAGCTTTTGATCTGACGATGCAATAAACTTCAACGGAATTTTCTCAATTGATTCAATGATCATAATGCTAAACATATCATGATGCAGAAAGTATTCAGGTTCAGTGGCCTTGATATCTTTAAGAAATGCTCCCCCCCAAAAAAAGAGTATAAGAAAGATGTTTTCTATTGTTCTGATACTAGAACAAGGCTTTTAGCTACTAATGCCATTGATAAAAATGTCAAATTGTTCATGAACAAGGAATACCAGCCACTAGCTTTGTTTCAGCAAATGCCCAAAGGGTAACATTGGAATATATGGCTTCCAAATAACTTGAACCTGAAATATTTTTTCAATGAATCCCATAGAATATTCATGCCAATAATTTCAAAAAATATAAATGAATGTTTATGTGCTTTCTTTGCAGTCTACCAACGTGTTTCATGTAAAATGCACAAGAATTGCCAATGAACAGTTTCTTTGCTATCCACTTTCATTCTCACTGAATATGAGAAAGTCTTCATTGATTTCATGACTGAGTCATTAATAACATAACCTGGATTAGGTTACTTTAAATTTTAGAGAATGTGATTCCTAAGAAATTATAATACTGATGGAAATATCTTATGAAGTAACAATAGAAACTTTACATACATCATGATCTATGCTCATCAATATGAGGATCAATTTGAATGAACTCAGTCTTTAAGTTTCAAGAGAGAAATAATCCATCAAAGGGATGCCAATCATTTAAAATATCATATCTAATTATACAAAACCAATATTACCAAGTCATAGTGCTGCTTAAGAAAGTTTCATTATTAAAAGTATCATGGCTACAAGTCTATTACTTCAAGAAATATAAGAAGCTGCATTTTCAAGGGTCGAACATGCTCCAATTTCTTCTTTGATTAGGAAATGTATACAAGATTGAATACAAATAACCTTAGGCCAATGGTGGTGATCAAACTGCAAATTTTATGTATGTCATTGTGTCTCATATATATGACTAGGAGAAATGCAGTTGGTGTTTAGATGCCTCATTCATAATAACACTTCAATATTGGAGTTCAGATGCCCGAGAATAAAATAAAGATCATGAATATTGAATCGGTAGAAATAATACAACACCAAGTAGGGGGGAGGCTGGCCACATGTAAGTAAGATGGTCGGGAGGAACCTGCTTATAAACAGGTCTTCGAGGCTGCAACGGGACCATACGAGGCCGGTCGATTGGAGGTGAAAAAGTATGGGGACTTGGAAGAGGTAACTCATCACGTTTAGTAGCTAAAGGAAATGGAACTTGGTTCTCATGACAATAAGAGCTATAGACATATGAACATGAAAAATCAAAACTAGCGAGAATAAAAACATCAGGAGCATGTGTTGAGGAAGAAAACATGCCTATATATGCTATCACAATTGACAGAAGGATGAAAACAATGATACCCAATTTCTTTGGTCAGATAACCCATAATATGCAATTGATAGGCTCAAGAGAGAGTCCATGGCTTCCAAGAGATGGTAAACTAATGAAATAGGTACATTCAAATACATGTGGATGCAAGTAGTTAAGAGGTTTGTGAACAACAATTTGAAAAAAGTCGGACGTTTTGCAAAAATAAGTGTTGGAAACAAGGTTGACAACAATAGATATTGCTTTGGCCCAAATATTCTTATGAGAGTGCTTGCCTCCTTAAATCCTTGTAAGAAGGATCCGCTTCTTGTTGGAAAATTATTGGGTGAAATAGGGGTAAAAGATAATACAATTTCATAAAAAATAAAAGCTTGACCCCAAGAAAACAAAGAGGTCTCTTTTGTACACCCGAGCTTGGAACCCACACGCTAGACACTAGAGTCTTGATGTTTTGGAGAACACTAGACACCAGAGTCTTAATGTTTTGGAGAGAGAAAGAAAGAAAAATGGGTAGAGAGAGAGATTAGCCAAGTGGTTTTGTGCCCATCCCCTTGGCACAAGCACATGTGCGAGCGAGCATACTCCGCAGAGGCACTATCTCTCTCACCTTGTACTAAGAGTATAAAGCATAAGAATGTCTAATATTAAATAATGCTCATATAACACTCTCCTCTTCAATGTGGGACTCAAACCCCACAACTTTCTCTCTCTACAAAAACAGCTTAGGAAAACCACAAACTATATTGTGTTTAGAAATACACAAGTATTTTTTGAACCAAAATACTAATACTTCTTAAAATCATCCATTTTGTATCCTTTTTATTTGGATAGATTGTATTGCACTTAGCCATTGTCATGACCTTTAGAAGGAGCATTGGGAATGGCTACAGCCATTTGGTGCCCTCTTGCCTATTAGATTTGCTGACTCCAAGAGAGCCTATGTAAAGCTCTCTAGCAACGAGATCAAAAAGAGTGATTTCTAGTGATGAAGTATGAGTATGATGAATAATGAATGCTTATCGTCGTAAGGCAGTAGACTGTGTGAAAGTGGTTTCTTGTTTTAACAAGATCTTCAATAGTTGGCTAAGTATCCATTGAGTCCTTCTGATTCCATATATTTGGAGATGATCGATGGAGTCACCAAATAGTAGTACTATACCTTTCGATCGATATGAAGAAATGAATGCGTAAAAAAGGGAGCACAATAGTATAAGGTATTGAATCAATTCAAGCTACACCCTAAGCAAGGAACTTATTTGCAAAGGGCTTTTTATTTATTTCTAGATAAGACTGGTCCCATAGTACACATAGACACCATGTTATTTACCTCTGCTCTCACCATAAAGGAGAGTGAAACACATCTGTTTAATCAGCAGTCCTTTAAAAGAAGAGGACTAACAAAGATGGGAAGAACCCGACTCTTCTCCTAAAAGGCTGCAGTCCATAGGGTCCTCTCTGGAGTCCTTGGCTTATTATCATCACTTTGAAGCACAATAAATAATACTCGACAGACAATCGTTATGCCCGTTATGCAGCCCATTTTAAGGGAAAAACCTCTTAGCCTCTATAGAGGAACCCTTGAAACCTCATATATATATGCCCCAAAATTTTTATTCATTGCCATAGCACAAAATATTCAGTGGAGGTTAAATTGGTATAATTAGATGTGTGCAAGAATAAAATGTTTTTTTGACTTTCTTGAAATATCTAGGTGGCACGACATTGTTTGGTTGTGTTTTAGGAAGGATTAAACACACTAAGAACATTGGAGATTGAGCAAGGTGAATACTCTCGAGTGATGAGGCAAGCGATATTGATCAGTTGTTAAGCATATATGAGCATGATTGTCACTCCTCTGTATACACGTCAAGTATCATCACCAATGATGTTATGTATTGTCACTTAGAGTCAGATATACCTTGAACGCCTTATCAGCTAGTCACCATACTTGTCTTAACAACTGGTCAATAGCAAAGACTATAAAACCATCACACATTGACACCAAATTTTGGGACTTATATTCCCAAGGCCTTCTACGCCTCTTCACAAGGTTTGGGGAATTTTTGGACAAGACTTGATACGTCTCAAGGACCATCATTCTCCAAGAGGAACTCTGGAGACTTCCGTCAGATAATATTAGAATGGGGTGAAACTTTTCAGGCAAGTATATTAAGCATCATATGCCTCTTAGGCAAATTTCACACAATTTGGAGATCATTTAATGCATCGACAAACTCATCAGTCACCGGATATAACTTGACTGTTGGTCCCTTCATGATATTTGGGATCGGTTTGAAACTCTTAGGGAGTTATTTTTGAGGTATGATAACTCACTTTCTAAAGTTTTTAGCATATTTGGAGATGATTTGACCACTCGTGTATATATAGAGATAGCCAAGATTTATATACACTAGCTTCCAGCCACATGCTCATCAGCCATGATCACCTCTAACCATTAAAAATGTGATGTTTCCCATTTTATACGGTTTTTCTTATGAGACTTTGAAAGATTGGATTTCTAACTTGGTATCCTATTGTTTCGGTATATATTTGACATAGCCTAAACTCCTATTATAATATACTTTTAAAAAACCACCTCTGTTCAGTGAATCCCTAGCTTCTTATGGCGCGCTTTGGCCGATGCTCAAGTATTCATCCTACATGTTTATACAATCTCTCAAAATGTTTGATTACAAGCATTCAAAAAGGGAGGATGGTAGGAAATACGCATCCCGATAGAACAAGTTAACGCAGCCGCATCAATAGCAATTAGGCAAGGAGACCCTTTGTATGCAAAGGACGAATCTTGTACTCCTAGCATATTCATTTGTAACATATTAACATAGGTTTTTCACTTCTCCATTATATGAGACAGTGAATGTACTTAACAACGTATCCACAAATATTAGAACTTATTTACCTAGAAGTAAATAAAGCTCCATACATGGATATACCCTGTAAGAATATTGTTTAAAATCTTTTTTTACTGTTTTATGCTTTTGTTCTTGCACTGAACTTAAGATCAAACTCTACCCCTATCAATCGTGGGAAGGCGGTACCCTATGGATCTCCCACAAGAAAGCAATTGTCACTGTAGCAAAAAATTCAAAGCTTTACAACAATTTGATCTTCAGTTTGAGATATCTCTCGATATAAACGAGTTTTCTCACCAAATTTTGTGGAGTTGTTCC